AAGCAGCGTAAGAGGAGCAGGAAAGCTGGCGTTTCGGGTCTAGAACCTAACGTCAGCTTTCCTGCTCCTCTGATGCTGCTTGGCCTGCTGTGTTCATGCAGCTGTCCACATTGTCTCCCTTCTGTATCACCTGTTTTAGGGGGTTTAAAAAAAAACATTTCATTTGGAACTTTTCTGTGCAAAATTACAATTTCTATTTTATTTACTTACATTCTCAGGAGTATGTTGCTGAGAAGGCTAAGGAAATCTTCAAGACCGCATTTCCTGCAATGAGGGGAATCTGGTTCAATATCTTGACCACCAGGTTTCCTCTTGAAACACTGAGCCACTATTTTGGCTTTAGCACATACTCCATCCAGGAGCATTTTCTCTGTGCATATCCACCTGTATCATAAGGCTGTTTATCTTCTGCCTGAAAACTGCATTTATACACCAAATTATTTTTAGCTGTTGAGTCTTTTTGTTTGTCATCCTTCACCAACTTATTTCCTAATTTGTTCATAGCCACTAAAATTTCGTAATCATAATGGCTCCTACCTTTCTTGGTATGACCAGCTTGTTCCAAAGCCCATGTTCTTAGCAAACTTTGACATCTACTTTCCCTCTTGTTTCATTTTGGACTACTACCTGTCTTTTGCAAGCCTTTTTCAAGTTTGTGATCGTCTCCTAGGGCATGTCACTTCCAGGTCCAGTCAGAATCAGTACTGCAGTTTCAGACCTTCAATGTCTTCACCTCATTTTGCCTAGCATGGACCATGCCTTCTGTTCCTCATCTTGCACATTCAGCTAATGTTTGTTTTTGCTGGTTGCTTTCCCTATCTTGTTAAAATAGCATTTCTGCATTCACTAAAACCATCTGGCATTAAAAACCAAAAGAACTGCAGATGCTGTAAATCAGGAACAAAAACAAAGTTGCTGGAAAAGCTGAGCAGGTCTGGCAGCATCTGTGAAAGAAAAAACAGAGTTAACGTTTCGGATCTGGTGGCCCTTCCTCAGAACTGGCATTAATGTTACTTTGGCGCCAACACTCAATTGTTATCCTCTTGGGCAAATAGCCTTGTTGTATAATTTGAACATTTTCATGGACAACCTGCTCAATAGTAAGGGTTTTTAACCTGGAATTACGTCTAAAATGGTTTATCCCCTATTTTACAGGGAATCACCTCTCTTATTTAAATGATTTCAGCACAGTGACATCCCCAAACCTGAGCTAGGTAGTACTCTCAAATTCCTTCATCTTACTTTGATCTTCATTATTTAAAAAATCTAAGGGATGGAATCTTATAGGGTTTTGAGCGATATGGACTATGGTAAGATGGCAGGACTGGAAAAAAGGACCAGTAAGGCCTCTCTCGAAGTCATGAGCATCTCGCTGCAACCGAGTGATTTCCTTGCTGGCAGTGGCGAATAGCCTAATTAAGGGAATTATTGCATGTTAAATGCCTTATAAATTCAGCTTCTATCCTCTCAAAATGTTCCAAACAAGCTAGATGTCAAGAATTTTCAACTTGGAAGTCAAACAACTACCTGAAACTTCACATCCTCCTTAGCTGCAATCAGTCTGCACATTGCTCAGCTTGAATCAACATCTCAGGGCAGGACCCATGGGCACCAGTTGCATGCACCCTTTAACCACAGATTTTTGACATTTGCCTCATGTCATCATGTCACCTGTCCAATCGACTTGGAGAACTTTTAGGAAGCACAGGCCTGTGCTGTAGGGTGCACCAGCAACTAGCACTGAAGGGCTGCTACATGGCCACTTTGAATGCAGGGACAGGCTCATGGATTGGACTAAGCTGCATTTCAGGGCTACTCACTTGCACTCTTTGCATTTGCTTACTAAGCGCATACCTGCATGCTTGGACCATCCATGCCTTGCTGAACCAATCAGCACAATCGTGCAACCAGTCAGCCTACCTTGCTGATCAGCAGTCCTCAGTCAAGGGAGCATACATCTTGCTGTACGGCAGTCCTCTATGACAATCTCACATCTGCACCATGTGCCAGCAGTTTACATAGCAAACACATGCAGCAAGCAAGCAACCACATCCCCCATCAAGATAGTCTTAGGGCTCTCTGCTTCTTCCTGGAAAAAAAGGCCTAAATCATCCCCATCCACCACAATAACTCTGATTTTGTTTTTTTCTCCACAGATGCTGCCAGACCTGCTGAGCTTTTCCAGCAACCTCTGTTTTTGTCCCATCCACCACCACTCTCCTCAGCCTGACCAAGCTTGTCATCATTTTGAACAACTTTTCCTTTAATACCTCTCACTTTATTCAGATCAAAGGTGTGTCCATGGTACCTGCATGGGTCCCAGTTATGCCTTTTTCTCTGTAGCATAAATTGAACATTCCTTGCTCCAATCTGACATTGGCTCTCAACCCACAACTATTTTGTGACATGACATCATCAGTTCTGCTTTTCACTCTCATCCAGAATTGGAAAAAAATTATCACTCACCTACACCTGGGCCATCTCTGACTCCTCCCTTGCTCTCCTCAAGATCTGTTACCATTTCAGGAGACAGGCTGGTCACCAATATCCACTGCAGACCCACCACCTCTCCCAATTACCTTGATTATACATTCTGACTATTCCATTCTTCCAGTTCCTCTGTCTCCATCACATTTGTTCCGATGATGCCAACTTCAACAAGGGGCCTCCAAAATGTCCACCTTCCTCAACCGAGAACTCCCCACCACCATGCTTAACAGAGCCTTCACCATCTCACCCAGTCTGACCCATCTCCCATATTTTGGCCTTCACCCTCTCTTTTCCCTCCCACATTAGGTCCTTTTGGTCCTCACTTACCATCCCACCAACATCCACATCCAAGGGATCATTGGCCGTGATTTCTGCCACCTCCAGCAGGATTCTATCACCTCCCTTGTCAACCTTCCGCAAGGACCATACTCTCCAGGACACCTTGGTTCACTCCTGCTCCACTTGCAACACCTTCCCTCACGTCCAATGGCATATTCCCATGCAACTACAGAGAGTGTAACACCTGCCTGTTTACTTCCAGGCACACCTTCCAGGTGAAGCAACGATTTACCTGTACTTCATTCAATCTAGTCTATGGTATTTGCTGCTCACAATGTGATCCCCTCTACACTGGGGAGACAGCACAGACTGGATGACTGCTTTGCAGAACATCTACATCCTGTCTGCAAAAAATGACACTGAGCTTCCAATTGTCTGCCACTTGGACACACCACCCTGTTCCTTGGCCAACATCTCTATCGCAAATCAAAAATACACAACAGGAAAGAAAATAGCTGCAACCACACCTGAAGTGGTCAGGGTACATGTGTCAATTTGTCGGGGTGTTGTTCCTAATCTCTGACCATCTTAATGCATTGGCTCCCTGTGTGCTACACATCTCCCTGCCCCTGACTTCACTGACTACCTCATTCACACCAACACTTTTGGATACAGAGATCAGGGGAAGAATAAAGATGCTGTAGAACAAGGATCAATGGTGTCAACAAGACCCATTGCCCTGTGTGTGACTTGTTCATTTTGTTTCCACATACTGTAGTGGCTGTCAGCACACACATTGATCCATGATATATCCTGTGTTGACGTGAAGTTAAGCATCATGTTGGCTCAGTTACATTCAGGGCCAGACAAAGACTGAAACAAACAGATGTGCATGCAAACAATAACATTTAAACAAATTTGAGAATCCACACAGTGTAACTTTATGCATCCTACCAATGTGTCCTCAATTGGTTTTTTCTTTCTCTGCTATAGAAAGGACATTATTGAATTGGAGACAGTGCAGAAAAGATTTACCAGGATGTTACTGGATTGGAGGGTTTGAATTATAAGTTGAGGCTGGATAAGCCGGGACTTCTTTCACCGGAGTGTAGGAGGTTGAAGGATGACCTTATTGAGGTTTATAAAATCATGAGGGGCATGGGTATGGTGAATAACCAAGGTCTTTATCCCCCACCATAGGGGAGTTCAAAACCAGAGGATTTTTAAGGTGAAAGGAGAAAGATTTAAAAGGGACCTGAGGGACAACTTATTCTGCACAGAGAGTGGTTCATACGTGGAGTGAACTGCCAGAGAAAGTGGTAAATGCAGATACAGTTACAATATTTGAAAGACATTTGGACGAGTACATGAATTGGAAAGGTTTAGAGTGACGTGGGCCAAATGCAGGCAAATGGGATTAGTTTAGTTTGGGAAAACAGGATCAGCATGACCGAGTTGGACTGAAAGGTCTGTCTCCATGCTGTATGACTAGGACTCTCCCTTCCACTACATCTCATTGTAGACCCTGCTCCTGCAGCTGACTTAGAGGGCGTTCTCATCAGTGGAGCCCAATGTTCCTGGAGGTTCAGTCAGGCACCTAAGGATAGTTGTATCTGGACAAGCCTAATAATGCAGAAGGTCACCTTGTCAGAGGCAAGTGAACACTCCTCTGCTTCACTTTCAAAGGGTCAGAGGTGCAGATAAGGTGGAGGTGGAGGACCAGACCATCTCTGGGGTGTTCGAAAGGAGAATTCCGAGGGGAGTGTGTGGTTTCTTTCCTGTTTTACAGGTGCTTCCATACGTCAGTCCCATTTGTTTACCCTTCGTATCTCCTCTGTCAATTTTATTTTCATTTTCCAATTAGCCTATTCAAAAGATGTTAGTGCTTACTTCTAGAGTAGGTTGAGTTGAACCCAGGTCTCCTAGCTCAGAGGTAGGGGCACCATCACTATGCCACAAGAGCCCTCATCTACTTTTTCATTTTTTAAAAAAATTAACCTATTTTTTCCTAATCAACTTGTTCAGAAATGTTATTACACACCTCTGAAGTAAGAGGGATGTGAACCCAGGCCTCCTGGACCAGGAGTAGGGACACTACCTCTACACCACAAGAGGACTCCCTCATCTACCCAGTCAATTAATGAATTAACCCCAGTCACGTGCTTAACTGCTTTTTACATTAATAAGATGTCCTACATAATCGTCAACCTCAATCTCTGTTTCAATTATAGATACACAATTACACTGGACCTGCCAAAATTGTTGTACAGTTAGTGACCATTGATGAGCCTCCACTTCTGCATGTACACAGCCTAGTGGGAAGACAATGTGAAAATGGAATCTGTGTAATTCAAATGGATTCTGACGACATGACTGCTAGGTGAGAATGTGGTTTTAAAGTAATACAAATATTCAGTAATTTATTTCAAGCACTTATTTGAGATTAGAATTTGGTGATTAGATAAGTATTATCTATGAACTTTAGTTGCAGAGGTGTCAACCACTTCAAAGTTTTGAAAAGTGATCCATCTTCAGTGCTGCATCTCCAAAACTAAAAGTATGAAAATCTAACATTGGTTGGGATTTTGCACTTTAGGACAAAACAAAAGAAGCATTTCTGGTCATTTTAAAGGGGCCAAATTTAACCAAACCTACTTACCGAGTTGATTTAGTCACCCATTTTAAATTTTGTTGGACTTTAATTTCCATTGCATTTAGCAGGGCGATGGATAGCCAATCCCCTGTCAATTGCTGACTGTTATAATTCCAGTTGGACAAGTCAGACCCCAGACGAAAATCTGGCTTGATATTTTGTTATTTTGGTTTTAATGAGGTGGTATTTTACACAAACAGACAATGCTACAGATTCGATTTAACAATAAAATTTTTAAAAAATGCAAAAGAAATTAAGATAAAGTAGAACACCTCCCTTTTTCAGGAGCAACAGTTTACACAGCTTTAGTCAAGACATCTGCAAACTACCCAAACTAAAACTAAAGAACCTTTCTTTCTCCGCCAAGTTTTCTTCTTTCCCGAAGCCAAAAAAAACAATTCCAGAGTCTTCTATCCAAAAGCTTAATGTACCACACTGTTTGCTTTGTTCACTGTAAATTCTCACATGTAAACAAATTTTCATTAACCTCCCTGAACACTCTCTCTCAGACTGTTTGTTTTGAAAAAAAAACCACAGTGGTTATAAAAATACCACAAGTTAATCATTAAACCTCTTCAGATGCACAGAAAACCCACATATAATTTATTCAAAATTCAGAGCTCTCAAATAACATTAAAATATATATGAATCACGTACCATACTTCACATTGAAAAAATCATGTTATTGCTAAAGTTGGAGTGAAATTGAACTTTACTGGAAGGACTTAAATAGTCAGTATAATTGACCCATTATACATTATGTTTGATTTGTCTGTCTGATAAATTCAGTGGAAAGAAATGTGGGTGAGGTGTAGTACAAATGGATGACCTACTTTCACTGAATTATGTACACACTAAAGTCAAATTTTCACAAAAATGTAATATTTTGAGATAATGTTCTCTGTATATAAATAAATTTTCCCTAGTGATATTGCTATCTCAAGTTGGGTGTCCTTGCTGTCTTGAACAATTTCCAGAGCATCAATGTTTCTAGGAACTAGCAGTTTCATTGTGATAGCAACAGAAGGGACAGAATAAACTAAAGGATCTAATAGTGGTATTTAGCAACTGGTACAAACAAAATAACATTGCTGAAGCACAAATGCATTTCATTTGTTAAAGTATTCTGAATCAGATGAAAAATGCTATATTTGATAAGGTAATAATCATTGGATCAAATTGATAGCCAGGGTTTCTCTGATGTAGATTTTTTTTAGGATTGAATAGTGAACAATTGAAAAGAATATAATGTTATAATTTCTATCTTTATTCATGTGGAGACATCATAAAGTAATTCCAATAACCTGGTGTGTTGTAAAGGAATGAGCTCAAACATTTAAAATTATAGTTTTAAAAATGTTATTTTGTTAGGAGATGGATATTGATTTGGAAACTAGGTCATATACATCTAATTAAGGAAACCAAATACTTGCCTAAGTATGAAAATTTGAATCTGAAAGAATTTCAATTCCTGGGAACAGCAGAAACAGCAGGACACCATTCAGCCCCTTCAGTCTCAATCTTTCAATATTAGACTTAAATTTCCCTGGCTTGTTTTTAACGTTACTCAAATATACTTACCTATCAAATTTGTATTTCTCAGTCTTGAAATCTTCAATTGCCCAGCATCCACAACTTCTTGTAGAAAAGATGTCCTACATTTCTAATGTCCCTTCAGTGAAAATCCACTCCTTGATTTCTCTCCTGAATTGCCCAGTTTTAACATTATGTATGTCCGCACTAGGGAAAGTAATTTGTCCATACCAAAACCCTTTACTTAAAACACATTGATTAAATCACCCTGACTCTCAGACACCCAAGGATTTAAAAAGCAACCTAGGCTTACAATTTAATTCGCTCAGTCATTTTGGCTACCTCCAATGTCAACAGATCCTTTCTAGAGCATGAATCTTAAACTGAATGCATACAATACATACAAGAGCCTAGAAGGATATCTCCAAGATATGCAAAATGATCTGATGTTCTTCACCTGAGAGCTCCTTTTTATGCTGGTTTCTATGCAAATCACAACTTTTCACAGATTTCTTGGGGATTAAGTGGGATCTTTGTGATTTTAAATTAGATGATATTGGGAAGTCAATTAACATCATTGGACTGCGTTTCTGATGGTCACCCGTCCTGAAATTAAGAACTGAATGTTTAAAATGATGTTGACAATTAAAAAGCATAAAAACAAATACCAAATGTTAATCTCTCATTGTCCTCATACCTGCTTTCCTAGTAAAGCTAAAATCAATTCTTTGGTGTTTGTACATTAGGATAAATGATGTTACAGCTGTTTATTGAATCAATTTAACATTTTCGAGCACCCCTGCTCATCTATACCACCAGGAAATTCAGAATAATGGTTTCTCTGGTTGTAATTTTCTGCTCCCTGGAGTTGGAAATGGTGGAAGTTGGGAAAATACAACAACAAAGAAAAAACTGGAATCTCAATGTTGAGGAAAAAAACACAATTTGCACCTTAAACTTTAACCAGTAACTTCTGAATCTCACTATTAAGTGGTGACTACCTTATTTCCAGGTATTTTCAGTTCATTAGTAATCCAGTTCATCTCAGTTATATGTCACTTTCAATTCTCCTCCCTTTCTCCAACAAATAAGTGGTACAAATTCCCAACATAAAAGTCAGAGTGGGAACCTGGTGCCAGAAACTCAATACTTTCTAGTCCAGGTCTTCAACTAACCCTGTCTTTACCACAACAGCTCTGCATACTCCCTGGACAGAATTTTCCTCTGAATTCGGTCCACACAAACAGTATCGGCCAATCACCAGCCTCAACACTTCACGCATGCTATCTGTTACAATCACTCCGGCATGGGGAAGGAATTTAGAAACAAGGGCATGAGAATTAACAAAGTCATGGGCTCTGGGGGAACATTAATAGTTATATAAAGTGCTGTAAAGAAATAGAAGAGGCTGAAAGTTCATCACGGACACAGGGACTGGAATTTAAAAAAAGGTACACGAAGGATCATGGGAGCATCCTACATCTCAGGCAGAGCCTGAAAGTCACTCACTACGATGTGTAGTTGAAATCTTGTCATCTTTGATCCAGAGTCAACTGAGCAATAATGGTACAAAATGGCTACCAACGCATGCAGAGTGGACCAAGTAACTTACTATTTCCTCTTTGGTGGAATGAATAAAATTCATTGAAAGGGAGACTCTGCTCAGGGCAGTTGTATTATTCATGCATCCACTGGTTCAATCTTGCCACCCATTTAGGCTCAAACTGCACTCCATTGGAAAGTAATTCATCATCCAGAATGCACATTGCAAATTACGGCCTCAAACTATCATGAGCTTTACATTGTTTACATGAATTGTCTCCTTGTCAAGTCAGCTCAGCAAATGTAATCAAACACTAATTTAAGAGTATCACCTGGTCTTAGCATTTCTGAAAAATATTCCATCGCTGTCAATGGGAGACAATGCTTCAGAACCAGCACATATGCACATTGAATTGCAAGCATGCAAAGACATGGTCTGCGCTGTGCAAGGCTGCCTATTTTGGGACGTGGTGTGGTGTGGTATAATAGTTGCCTACTGCCAAAATTCCACTCTGCTAAACTAACCTGAACACTTTGGTTCTGCAACATATGTTTGGTTAAAGTTACATGTCTCAGAACTTCTTATCAAGGTGTGACATTGACCTTCTTGCAAAGCCTCCGTGTCACACTTTATCAGGGCTTAACATGGAGCTTCATTGTAATTGATGTGAGGCCTCAGGAACACCGTTCATGAAACGGTGTTCCTTATCTGACACTCTCCACAGATTATCTGCTCACCAATCTGCCATGAATATCATTGTGGCTCCTTTTGGCACTACTTTATATGCAAAGACAACATTGAAGGAGAGAGCTATCACCATGATGTAAGCAAGCCCAGCAAGAGCAGCAACCTCCAGCAACCTCCACCAGAGGGCGAAGCAGCAAGTGAAGATCCCTGAAGGAGGTGGAGGAGAATGAGTGACCCTGCATATACAGACCTCGCTGTCATTATCTATAGCTCTCTGAAACACTGTATGGGTACAAATTGTCATCACTGACGTGTGGCATCTGCTGGAGTAAAACCTGAACCCCAAAGAATTGAGAAGGTGCCCATCAAGGTTACAGCTGCTCTGGATATTTATGCCAGCAGCTCATTTCAACAAATAACTGGGGACCCCTGTGACATCTCCCAATCCTCAACCGACAAATGCATCTGGAAGGTAACTGATACCGTTTTCCCCCAATCAGAGCTGTTCATATTTTCCCCCATAAAAAAGAGATAGAAGAGCAGTGGGATTTTCCACCACCGCTGGCTTTCCCAATTGCAGGGCACTATATACTCATGTAGCTTTGGGAGGACTCTATCATCGACACACAGTGTTAGTCAAATGAAACTGCTTCCATTCCATCAATGTTCAAATTATGTGTTGCCATCAATGCCAGATTTTGATGGTCTCCCCCAGATATCCTGATAATTTCCATGATGTGTACATACTAGAGGTTCCTACTTCCTCCACGGTCGTTGGGCCAAGCAGTGATAGTTGCTAGGAAGCAAGGATAACCCCCTCCAAAGATGGATCAGGGCATCTTTGTTAAACTTTTAGACTGAGCAGATTAAAGATACAATGCTGCATGCTTCCACTCGGGTCAGAGTGGAGCAGATCATAAGTCTCCTTAAGTTGAAGTTTCAATTCCTGGACGACCCAGGTGGGGCATTGCAGCATTACCCAGAAAGGGTGTGCTGCATTTTTGTGGCATGCTGTGCCCATCACAACTGGAATAGTAAATGGGGCAATGTCACAGATAAAGAGGAAATGGAGATCAACAACAATCTTCTAAGGATGACAATCAGGGTATTGACCAGAGATAGTAAGAACTGCCGATGCTGGAGTCAGAGATAACACAGTGTGGAGCTGGAGGAACACAGGAGGCCAGGCAGCATCAGAGGAGCAGGAAAGCTGATGTTTCGGGTCGGGATCCTTCTTGACCAGGTTGGACAGGTATGACAGAGCAACGCATTGTCAACCTGAGAAGCCAGGCACAACTTAATTAAAAACTGCTTCCAAAATGGTTGAACTGGGTTTAGACTTCTTTTAATTGTGTAGCCTTTTGTTGGTTATATGATAAGCAGTCCCTGTTTAGTACAAAGGACATGTCCTGATTATTTTTGAAGTCCTTTTTCTGTTGCTGAATAAATGTCTTATTATCCATCTGACTGTACACTTGACACCTTGACATTCAACTTTCAAATCTACACACTAAAAGTTCTACGGAATTTTAGGGAAAAGGCAGCATTCAGTAATATAGTGCACTAACATCGCATGGCTGTAAGATTAGCTAGATATCTGAGTGCTGTGCAGTGAAGTTTCGTGTAAAAGGCAGCAGACCAAGAGGAACCCTGAGGCTACCCTTTTTGACTACCCTTTTGGTTAACCTTCAATGTTTCTGAGTCCATGCAGACTGTTAAACTGCCCTGAAATACTTCAGCATTCTGTTGGGCAGTGTTGAACCTGAGAGGGGCAGGCATTTTGTGCAGCTTCTCTTGGCAGACCCCTGTGTTATAAGGGCGAATGGACATGTGAATTGCCCTTGTATACATCCCAGTCTTGAATGGCAATGCACTCACTTCAACATCTGATAGATAGAATGAAAATTTGCTTTCAGAGATTTTAGAATCATCGCTGATTTACTGTTCTCGCTCACAAGGCAGTTGTAAGTGTGCTAGATGTTTTCAGCCAGGCCATAGTATGATCACTGTGCATTGTGTTTAGCCTCAGTGCTGCCTATATTGAAGTGCAATGCCTTCACTACAGTTATCAATGTCATGGTCCAAAGCTCCCTGATATCTGAAGCTATCTGTGATCCAGATTTGGTTTCTTGTGAGAGATGAGCAATACCATTACATTTTCTTACTTCTTTGAGATGTTAAGCAGGCTGCTTATCTCTCAAATGAGTGTGACTTCATTGGGTCTGACAGTAACCAACACACAAAACCAGACGATCTAAATGTGCATGTGCATAATTATTTACAAAAAGCAAGATTTGTTTACAAGTATGTGTCACTGTGCTACCCACATGCCCTCAGAAGTGCTTTCATCCTACATCTTCTACTATATCCCATGTTTCGCAGCTGGGGTGGAGAGGGCCTAATCTGTAGTTGGTCATTTTGGCTTGAAAGAATTTGAGTTTTCATCACCCGGCTATTTGGACCTAGAGTTTCTGATGCAGGCTCACCCTCCTTGGCTTGAACTCTGCTCAATTTAGCATTATAGTGATGGTGGGGGAAGATGTGTAATGATGGAACCAGGCACCTCTGGAGAGCCCTGAGAGGAAGCTTCTGGAGTACTGTATGTACCTCCTCCTCCATCCTTATGCGTATGAGCTGGAATAACTCAGATTCCCTAAGAGAAAAGGGCACTAGGTCAAGGAGTGAGGTCAAGGACACATATGCTATAAATTCAATTTTGCATTTACTTACATTTCCACCACACTCTTCCATTCCCACTAAACCCCTGCAACCATAATGCCCAGCAAGACTTCCCTGATATTATGTAATCTTGATGGTTCATTCCCTTTTCCTTAAACGAAAACACAGCCCTCCTGAATTTACCTTGATTTTTCAATAATCTTCCAGCTTTTCTGTGAGGTATGAAATTTCATGAAGATCCTTCCATTACATTTTGTCTGAATAATCCACCACGTTTTCCTCAAAACTTGCTGGCTGTGGACTTCTTATCTCAAACTTAAACTTCACTGCATTCTCCAAGCTAACTGAAAATAACTGTAAATGTCTTCCTTGAACTCCAAGCTGATTGAAAATTGCTGTCTCCTTTTCTCTCAAGAACTCGAAATGAGCTGCCACCCAAGACCAGATCTACAACTGCCCCTGTGAGGAAATTCCAGATAAATAAAGCTTCTAATCCCAACAGTGCAACTCTCTGCTAATGTGCCATGCCTTAGGATGTGCCTAACCTAATTATGTTATACCCGCAGTACAACTCTTTGATTCTGGGACACGCATCAATAATTTATATTTCTATTGGATATGATTACCCTCATTCCAACTCTGTGTTACAATTGAGAGGTTCAGAGATGGGCCATCCGTTGTTTAATTTCCTCACGTTCACTCTGACCTTGTAGGATAAGCACAGTTTTCTTTTCTACTGGAGTAAATACAGGAGTAGATGCATAACAGTTTCTTAACAAAGAGTTTTCATTTATCTTGCATTTAAAGCTTTAATTCCTGAAGGTAAAAGTTAATTCTAAAACGTATGAATCAGATTAATGCGACAAGACCATTTACAGTCAGTACAGGAAAGAAACTTTGATCTAGACAATCTGAACATTATTTGAACTAACATTCTAGAGATTAAGGAGAAATGCATTATTTCATTACACGGCAAAGTTATCATAGAGATGCATCAACTGATTTAAAACAGGTTATAAATATTTGTAATATCAAACTGATTTTCTTTTGAATCCCTCTGTGAAAGTGACTAACAAATGTATTTTCTGATTAGCTTTCCCAACCTTGGAATCCTTCATGTCCCTAAGAAGGATGTAGTAGCAATTATAGAACAACAGCTGATTAAGTCTTGGACTTCTGATGCCCAAAATGGGAATGCTTCACTTCCTAATGGAAATAGTGAAAATGAAATGGAATTGCAACAGAAACAACTAAAGAGTGAGTTAATATTATTCAGCTGCATTGTTCATTCAGTTTTTAAATCTCTCAATGTAGAATACTCTGTAAACATTTACACGTTAGTTGGTGGTAGGTGGCTTCACCACCAGTTGTAAAGCTATGAGCTCCTCATTTCATAATTGAAATGCTCGATTGTTCTACTTCGCACAAAATGATGGTTTGTTTTGTCAGTTGTTCGAGGCATTTTGTAAATAGCATAGGTAATGGATAAAATATGAATTCTGAAATCTAGTTTAAGCTGACTGGATGGAAATGGGAGACAACAGGGTGTAGGGCTGGATGAATACAGCAGGCCAAGCAGCATCATAGGAGCAGAAAGGCTGACATTTCAGGCCTAGACCCTCCATCTGAAAAGGACCCTTTTCTGATGAAAGTTCTAGGCCCGAAACGTCAGCCT